TAATGGCTTTACTGCTTCCATATCTTGGGAGGGCTTTGTCTTAGCTGTCCTTCCTTGTTGGGTTCAGCTGACATCATGACTTTAAAGACTATTTCCAGCTGATGCCCTTCTTTGAGCCGTATCTGTATTTGTTTTTCTTCACTTTTCTAGTCTGGCATCTCGTTGGTAACATTTCTAACTTTTGCTCTCTCCCATAGCAGACTACAGTCTACTTTTAATTGTGTTCTGAATGGAACTATTCCTTTTAAAGAATGATTTTTATTTAATCAATTAATTTTAAAATTATTTTATGTGTGATGACGCTTTGCCTGCATATATGTTTATGCACCATTGAGTGCCTAGTGACTGCAGGCCCAGAAGAGGTAATTAGATCCCCTGCAACTGAAGACAGCTGTGAACTGCCATATGGGTACTGGGAATTGAACCTGTGTCCTCTGGAAGAGCAAGAAAGAGACCTGGTTGGTCGTTCTCCTCAACTTAGACCATGAAACCCAATATGAGCAAGTTCGACAGGATCACCATGTGCAGGCATCCATGCATGCCTTCAGCATTGCCAGGGATATGTTTCATTCAGTCTCACGCTGGTCCTCTGGAAGAGCAGTCAGTGCTCTTAGCAGCTGAGCTATATGTCTCTGGCTCTAAATCAAAACGACTTTTGTTACTTCCACAATTGCCAAGTTGTTCTAGTAATTGCTGTTTCTGGCCTGGACTATTAAAGAAGTTACCTAGTTATTCAACTTCTATGTAACACTGCCCACCAAACTTTAGTCCTTGGCTAGCCAGTTTCTATCCATTCGGAATGTGAATCTAGTCATTTTAGCTTCACAAACAATCATTTCCAAAGACTTCTCATTACATTTAGGGTAGAAGCCAACTGTGACATAGAAGCCTGCACAGGACAAGCTCTTGCCTAATGGGCTGTAACTTACCCTGGCCTGCTTGGTGGTGGATCGCCTTGGATGGCTTGCTCTTTTAAGTAGGTCAAGGTTACCTGCGTGGAGATCTTGGCACGGGTTTTCCTACTGCCTGGGCACTCTTTCCCAAAGCCTTTAAAGGCTGCCTCGTGCACATCTTTCAGATGACGCTGACGTTAGATATGATCTTTTAAAACTATGATGTATCATCACTTCCCGACATTTTATTGACAATTTACTTGTTAAATAAGTAATTTAGTTCATACATGTAGTTCTTGGCCTACAAAGATGGCACCTGATACATAATTGACAAGCATTTATTCAATTGTAATGAATCTATTAACTCTGATTTTATTTAGTATAAGAAGTCAGTCAGCGCTGCTTTTCAAAATGTGTTCTATAACACATACCTTAAAGTTGTCTGTTTAGCTTACATACTTCCTTTTCTTCAGAAGTGTTATCATTTTCTTGAGTTTTGTTATTAAAAGGACGGGACCAGCCCGCGTCCTGGCAGTCTTTGCTCAGGTTTATTTACATTTCTAAAAGTCTGTTGTGTTATTGTTTATTTTAAACAAGGATAATATTTACCTTTCCAAAGCGAAGCATGCAGAGATAATGCATCGAAGTGTCACTCCCAGAACACAGCTCATTTTTTGTGCTCTTGGGACAATGACGGGCATTCCTTCCATTGAGTGCCCTATGTCAATGCCCATCACACCACCAATGATCTTGAAAACCAGCAGGCCTGGGCACATGATCACATATAGTGGAAAGCATGTGAAGTGGTAGGTGTGGGGTGGATGTGGAGGGAAGGATGAAGAGTCTCCACGTGTCTCAAGTCCCATCGTTCTGCTGCCCAGTCTTCGAAGAAACTGGGAGCTGCTTAGGCAAGCTTCACAATCTGAAAAGAAATATTTCTCAGTCCTTTTGAGGTAGGCGGTAGAGTTAAAAGTGTGGGGTTAGAGCTACTAAGGAAAGAAACTAACACTTTTGAAAGTCGTAAGTATATGGCTACTATACATGTTATATGATATATGTTATACTTTATATGTATTCAGTTCTGGTTTGTCGAGTAATTTAAATACTGATAAGGCAAACAGGTATGACTTAACAAGTCAATAGAATTTTGCTGTCGAAAAGAGGCCAAGGGTGGTCTTAGTACACAAAATAAGTCATTTTGGTTAGGAACAATGTAGTAACAAAGATAAAGTATTTTTTTTTCCTTTTGGAATTAACTTTTCCTCCAACAAGATAACTCTAACATCTTTCTGAAAGTAACTGGCTTTCCTTAAATGGATCCAGATTTTGACTCTTGAAATCTGAGTATGTTGCTGTAGGAGGAGCGGCGGGCTCCTTTTTGTCCCGCCCAGCTCCTGGCTGCCCGGCTAGCTTTGCCCCCGAAATAATTACACGGAAACTGTATTCTTTTAAACACTGCCTGGCCCATTGTCTCCAGCCCCTTATTGGCTAACTTTCACATATAGATTCAACCCATTTCTAATAATTTGTATGTCACCACGAGCTCATGGGTTACTGGGAAAGATTTACCATGTCTGACCCTGCAACTTCATGGTGGCGGCTCTCTGCCTCTGCCTGACTCTGCTTCTTTCTCCCAGCATTCTGTTCTGTCTACTCCACCTATCTAAGCTGCTGTCCTATCAAAAGCCAAGGCAGTTTCTTTATTAACCAATGAAAGTAACAAATAGACAGATGACCCTCCTACATCATGTTGCTTTGAATGATCAAAGGAAGACAGTTCCTGCAATGCTGGACACCATCGACTATGGGAGATGAGAAGCCACATGCTCCCACTCCCCTAGACAAATTTGACCCACCTGCCTGGATGTGCTTGATCACGTGTGGTGGGAGAGTCACAGGCAGGAAATCTGTCAGGATATATATTTGCTCCTGATTGGTTGCAGGCTGGAGGTCTTCACTATGTATCCTTGCCCCTAATTGAACCTGATAGAAAATGTAATGAATTATGGGATTTCCTTCCTAAGGCCCTGCAAACTGTGACTTGGGCCATTTCCTGGGAGACTGGCCAGAGCCCATCCACCTGGTTAATATTTAATTAAAGCTTGTTTCAAATTTGGCCTTAAATTCTCGATCAGTGTGATTAACATATTGTCTACTCTGTGCACGGTTAAAGCAGCGCCCATGAATTCCAAGGGTGAAGCCTAGATTTTGCCATCAGTGTGCGCTGGAGTAACTGCTTGGTTCAAATGATGGATGAATGCAAAAGTCGTGTCGTACGACTGTCAGAGCTGGACAGCAAGGTGCATTGCTTTTCTACTTTGTGCTGTGGGGAAGTAACTTCCATGTCTTAAAGACGGTCAAGCAGTCTGCAACTGGGGTCGAGGTCTCCTGGCAACAGCCACATGTGTGGCCGGCCATTCAGGAAACGGCTCCTTCAGCTCCAGAGAAAAGTAGAAAAAGATTTAGCTCAAAAGTCTGCAGCTTGACCTCAGTCTTGTACAGACGTTGAGACAGGAGTGTCTTGCACACCATTTTTAGATTCCCAAGCCTCGGGAAATGGGTTCGGTAATAAATGTTTATTGTTTTAAGTTGTCGAGATTTCAAGTGATTTGTTGTGAACTAACAGAAAATAAGCAGGCCCATTCATGACATTTCCCCTAGAAAGTTGTCTAATTATGCGCTAAAGAAACTGCCATGATGTTATAAAGAATTTCTACCCTTTTTAGCATTATAGCAAATGGCAAGGGTCCAGTTTGGGTTAAGCTCACCCCTCAGAGGAGGAGGCAAATGAGAATTTCTCCTGACAGGGAAAGGATTTGCAGGGAAGTGACTAATGGGCGGTGTGTGTGTGTGTGTGTGTGTGTGTGCGTGTGCGTGTGCGTGTGCGTGTGTGTGTGTGTGAAAGCGCTCATGGAAACAAAAGACCTTTTCCCTGCCCCTTTTACTCCTGTCCTGTCCTACTAATTAGCATCATTTAACTTTCACAGTTCAGAACCAGGTCAGAGAGCCAGAGAAGATTTAGCTCCTCTCTTGGAGATGCTTAATTTAAATTGTTTGGAAACCATTTCAAACTCCCTGGAAGGCTCTGCTGGATAACATGTAGAAAGCATGGAGAAAGAATAAAAATGTCCCCACAAAGCCAGAGGATCAGCTCCACATCAGTACTAGTGGCCAACTCCAGAGGTGAAGCAGAGAGGAAACTATTTACCCTGCGTTTACCTGGGTTGACAAGCCTGGCTTTTCTAGAAGCTGGTGTGTGGATGGTTCCCTTTCATCCTTAACTTAGGGTTGGCGTGGCTGAATTTCACAGTCGTCTTTTCAGCTAGGTTGAGTTCTTTTTGTGTCTGTTCTAATTTTTCTAACTTTATTGTTATTGTTGGTGTGTGCACACTTGTGTGCTTGCCACAGTGCATGTGCAGAAGTCAGGACAACTTTACTGTTATTGTTGGTGTGTGCACACTCACGTGTTTGCCACAGTGCACATGCAGAAGTCAGAGGACAACTTTATTGTTATTGTTGGTGTGTGCACACTTGTGTGCTTGCCACAGTGCATGTGCAGAAGTCAGGACAACTTTATTGTTATTGTTGGTGTATGCACACTCACGCCTTTGCCACAGTGCATGTGCAGAAGTCAGGACAACTTTGTGAAGTCAGTTTTCCCATTCCACCTTTTTGGGAAACACAGCTTCAAGTAAGCATTGGGGAAACCAGGACTGTCAATCATGTAGGCATATTTTCTTCAAAAGGAAGAGAGTGAATGACTGTGTGTCAGAGTGAAAGTGGCCGAACAACTGGGTGATCTTTTGCTAGTCTGTCAGGAGCTAGCCTCTACCCGAACCCCAATATCCTGAGCTTTGTCTCTCAGTGACTAGACGCCATCCCTAGGAAAGGGGCCTGGGGTGCTTTGCATCCTTCACCAACAGAATCTGTCATTTGTTTCTCACTGACCCTTCCTCTAGGCCCTAGCCTGAGCTCTGCTTATCAGCCAACAGAACTCGTTTGGGGGTGCGGTGGATTTGAGACATGGTTCCTCTGAATATCTAGCACTGCATTGTACACCAGGCTGGCCCTGAGAATACATTCTTAACATAAAGATCACAGGTGCACTACTACCTCGCTAGGGAGTTTCTATGTAGCCATGCCTAAAGTTTCGTTATGATAATGGTCACATGGAAACCCCTTCTCAAAGTTTTTTTTTCTTTTTATTTATTCTCTTATACAATACATCCAAACCACAGTTTTTCCTCACCCCACCCTCCATCTCCCAGATTCATTGCTCCTCCCACAGATAGCAACTGAACACAGCATGGCAAGTTACAATAAGACTAGGCACATACCCTCGTATCTAGGCTGGGCCAGTAAGTGGAAGAGGATCCCAAGAGCAGACAAAAGAGTCTGAGAAACCCCTACTCCTATTGCTAAGAGTCCCATAAAAACCCCAAGCTAAACAGCCACAACATATATACAGAGACTTAGTGCAGATCCATGCAGACTCTGTGAGACCAATTCACTTTCTGAGCCACTTATTAGCCAGGCTTAGCTGATTCTGCGGGCAGTGTTTTCCTGCTGTCCTTGACCCCTCTGGTGCCTACAATCCTTCCTCATCTTCTTTCATAGGGTTCTCCAAGCTCTGCCTAATGGTTGGCGGTGACTCTCTTCAGCTGTTGGAAGACTTTCTGACTAGGCATCTGTGAGTACAGCAGATTGCTATTAAGAATCATTGTACTGACTTTTTCCCCTTTTCCCAGCTGTTTGATTCTGCTGTAGGTCTCTGGCCTCTCCAGCTTCCAGTTTCTGGCCATCCAGACAGTGTCAGGCATGAGCTCCCTCTCATGGTAGGGACCTACCGGGTATGCTGGTGGTTGGCGTAGTGTGGCTTCTGGTTCAGCAGGGAGTCTCTGCATACATTGTAGGCTGGGATATAGGAAAGGAGAGGGATTAGATCTGGTGTTTGTGGAGGGCACAGTGAGAGTGGAGGAATTCCGTGGGCAGGCAGCCTACTTAATCCTCTGGCTGGCATGGATAGTGATCGAGCAGGGCATGACTGTCTGAGGACCTTACTATGCTTAAGTGTGTGAGAAAAATAAACCTCGAATCCAGACTCTGGAAGTTTTGGACCCAGTACCTGCAAAAATGGTACCAACTCGAGTTTCTTCACCACATGCAAAATAGTCTCTTTGCCCGCACATGGCTTGCAGGGGTCTCCAACACACCTTTACTCGGCTTCTGGCAATCAGACTCAGGTCTGTGAGCAAGCATCTGTCTCCCCCGAGTCATCTTGCCGGTCATGTTTTTATTTTTAAGTATCCAGAGATACTGGTCACTTCAGAGATCTGGCTTCAGAAATAATCTCCAGTGTTCTTGTTTGTTTCCTGGGATCCAAATCCTAAAGAAAACAGAGAAACCTGATTTAAAAAAATGTCTTCTTGCCAATCTGTGGTGGTGCACACGTTTAATCCCGGCCCTTGGGAAGCAGAGTCAGTTAGAGTCTGTGAGTCGAAGGCCAGCCTGGTCTCGAGAGTCAGTTCCAGGAAGGGCTACACGGAGAAATCCAATCTTGGAAACAACAACAGTGAAAAGTAAACAATAACAAAACAACAACAACGACAAAATCTGATAAAGCCTAAATTTAAGAACTGGCCTAGAGTTCTCCTCTACACAAAAAGTAAGTATTCATGGTCCTTCCTATAGAACAAAGTGAATGTGCTGGCTACGGCAGGGACATAGCATGTGTATAAATACCGCTTTACGCCAGCCATCTGAAAATTATGAAAAAATAGCCCCACCCCTTCTTAAATCAGTGAATAGTAGTACAGGATCTGAGATCCAAAGGGAAGGACACACCCACTGGAGGCTGTCTAGCCCTTCCAGTTAGTCTGCAGCTCCCATTTGAGAGAATCTCAGAAAGACTTCTTGGTTTTCAGTTCATAATCTGTCAACAACCAAGCTCGGCCACAGTTTATTGTACTTAGAAGCTTCATTCAGAGCATGGAGGGAAAGGCGGACAGTGCACTCTGTTCGGAGGTCACCCCTTCAGGCTGCTATAGCTATTGTACCCCTAAAGTTGAAGTGACAGTTCTGAGAGAAGGCTGAAAAGTTAGGCGAACGTTCTCTGCAGTGAGTTTGTGAATTCGGGAGAAACAAAGGAGTCTTACTGACCGACTGCTGGAGTCACTGAAGGCCTGGTCACACGGAATCCTTGCGTCCCTTTATTGAGACGCTAGACTGCAGCTGTTTCCTGTAATTCTTTCACAGAGTGGCTGTGGGTTCGGGTCAGAGCTTGTTACCGCACTCCGTGTCCTGGAAATCCAGCTGATCTTCGAACTCCTCTCTGGCTGTTTTCCAAGAGAGGAAGAAAATAAGCTATGTCACGTGAGAAGTACAACAGATTCCCCGCTGTTTACCCACTCTAGACTTCAGTCTAACGTTAAAGAAAAAAAAAGACTATTTTTTTCCCAAAGAAAAAATGACGCACATTCTTTTTGTTCTTTTGGAAATATAGTAGAAAGAAATGTGAGCATACTATGGACAGAATATATATTATATGCTATATACAATGTATAATAAATAAACATATATGGTAACAATGGAGAGGGCACATGAATATTTGTCCCTGCCTTTGTCTGGGGAGGAGACAGGCGAGGGCCATAGGAAAATGGCCGTTTATAAAGGTAAAAGGGGAAAACCTGTGTTGGGATGAGGTGTTGATTTTTAATTGGCCATGTTAATTAGGAGACCAAAAGGGGGCTTTGATAGTTGAACTTCAACACTTTGACAGCTGGACCTTGGTAGTCAGCCTCAGGAGGCGCAAGTGGCCATATAAGGGAGACGACCTTGGTGGCAGCTTTAGGAATGTAATCTCAGGGTTTTTTGTTTTCCAGCAAGGTAGAGGTCTGTTTTTTTGTGCTATTGTTGTGCCTTTAAAAATGCCTCAGTATTGTGGCAGTAATATTGTTCTTTGATATTTTTGTAACTATATTATATTTTATTCAGCTGTTAAGTTGAGAAGCTAGATTTTCTCAACTTAAATTGATGTCTATAGATATACTGGACAAGAGTTGAGCTGAAGGCCAGCCAAGGTGTAGAAACTACTTTGAACAGATTTTGTAAATCTGTACTTATATATACATATACTTATATATACATGTATATTTAATATATCTCTATCTCTATCTATCTATCTATCTATCTATATGAGAGGCCCTTTGCTATCATAATATATATTTCCAAGTCTTCAAACTTCTAGAAAGTGCAGCATATTAGTACATGAAAATATCAGATAATACTCAATTTGATGGGATCTATCTATTTTTGAGTAAATGTTCACTTCCAATGTCATTGCTGCGTCACCAACACTTTCTACAAGAGGACAAAAGAAGCTTATAAAGGACACACTTTAAAAAGTCATTATTAGCCTAGTTATCTCAAAATAGTACAAGAAATTAAGTGATTGACCCCAATAAATAGCTCACTCCATACCTCTTCCTTTTCCCCTTAGAAATGAGCTCTGTGAATTGTTAGAGAATTGAACCTCAACAGGCTCAAATCCGACTTAAATACTGGAGATGAAAAATGATCCAGGAAATGTCTTCTGATGCTGGTGGATGTACTAAACAGGAGCAGTGCCATGTTCTCTGAGAAAACCATAGAACCGTGGTCTCTGTATTCACAAAGTCTGTGCCAATGAAACATCAGAGCACAAACTTGTCCTGTAGACTTTGTTGTTGTTTATTTGAGGAAGACTCTTTGTATAGCCCAGGCCTGCCTCAAACTCAGGATCCCGTTGCCTCAACCACCCCAGTGCTGGCGTCAAAGGAATTTGCTACCAAGTCTGGCGATTTGTGACATTTATATATCTGAGACATTGGTGATGTAGAGGTTTTTATTTTTCCAGAAATTTGGTCAAGTCATAAATCTCTGGTTCTTATTCTTCCTTACTTATAAGATAGGATGGCATTTAAATCTATGTTCTGTGTAGCATTAGAGCTTTTCTCAGATAATATTAGTTAGGAAGCTGCAGGGGATACGTCTCAATCTTTACTTGAGAAAAAGAAGGAAATAGTCTTTTTGTTTTGTTTGTTTGTTTGTTTTTTCTTTTTCAAGACAGATGTGGCCCTGGCTGTCCTGCAACTTGCTCTATAGACCAAGCTGGCTCAAACTCACAGATCTCCATCTGCCTCTGCCTCCCAAATGCTGGGATTAAAGGTGTTTGTCCCCAACCCTGCCACCCACGCACCAAGCAGAAGGAAACAGTTTTATAGCTTGAATGTTGTGGATAGGTTTTGTTTGTTTGTTTGTTTTGAATGAGCCATTTGTATTCTTAGTGATACAAAATTTAAACCATAATATGAATATTTAAATTCCTCTATTTCTCACTGGAAGCTCATGAAGATAGATGTTTAAAAATATGTGAGAGGCATAATACAACATGAAATATCACCAAAAAAATCTGTGACCTCGACTGATGAAGAGAGCCAGTTGACAGTGACTTGGTGATTTATTACTTTACATACAATCATTTAATTCCTGATTTACCCTGGGTATATGTCAAACAGTGGTATCCAGAGGATTTGGGGTGGAATGGGGAAGGACAAAGAATTGAATTACAGCCACATACATAGCAAGTAACATGCTAACTCAGAGCTCTACCTCCAGATTCCTGGAGTATTTATTATTCTTTGATAATTTTATACACGCAAGCAATGAGCTTTAGCTGCTCTTAACCCTCTCTTATTCTCTCTCACCCCTCCCATCTCCCAGGGGAGCCCTCTTCATCCCAGGAAGAGCCCCCTGTGCTTTCAGGCCTTTGTGTGTGTGACCCACAGAGGAGTTGAATTAGGGTTTCTTGCCTGAAGGAGAAAGCTTATTTATTGATGCAAGTGGCTACACCACGGAGGAAAATAGCACACTTTTTCTCCCAGAAACCAGTGCCTGCTAACAGTCCACCTCAGCCAGGAAGGAGGCTCATGAATGCCTCCCTCATCCACACTGAAATGTTGATGGGGCCCAATCTTAGGCAGGTCTGTAGTATTTAATATAAAGTTTTTGTTTGTTTGCTCTAATTTTGTTTTTGTTTCTTTTTGAAATGATGTCTAACTAGACAAGACACATAGAAAAAGTAGAAATGAGAAAGATTTGATTGAGAATCTACAGTTTAAAAAAAAATCCAAGTGTTGTATACCTCTGTGAGAAAACGTCCTATGTTTTGAGATGTTTGTATTCCAAGTTAATTATGAGAAATAAAGCGTGGCTTAAATTCTGACACACACTTGGCTCTGCTGTTTGTGACTAACCATCTTCTTCTAGTTCATGCGAACACACTGGAGTTATTCAAGTGTCTAAGATGGTCTCTTAGACATCTGCTTAGAATGTTCACATTTGGTTTTCAAAAAATCATTTCAGCAGAGATGAAAGCTAAGGCATATTTGGTTATATTCTCTGCTTAGCTGAAGTGCTCTTGGTAAATGAGCTGCCGGTGGAAATGCAGAGAAAGGCCAAGCACCCACCCTGTGCCTGAGCATTGACTCCCTTCTGTCATGTGCACTGGTTATGCATAAATGAGTGAAATGTAGTTAGATTAGATAAATGTAGCTAAACGTAGAGCCTTTGAAGGACGCACGAAAAAACAAGGAAGAAGGCCAGTTCAGAAACTAATGGGAGAGATAATTTCTGCAGCTAGAGCTTGATTGGTACAGAAATGAAAAATCAAAATGGCTGTTATCTAGGCGCCAGATACACAAATCACATGATAATTGTGGGAATTTGAAAAACAAGTATGTAGAATAGTGTGTGTGTGGGGGGTTGGGATTGATGATGAACACAATTGTTTGAAGTGGGTGTTAGGACCTGGCTGGAAACATTCTTCCCAGAGATTTGCTCTCAGTTCCCCAGAGGCCTTGCGGGTGGGAGGGAAGGGGGACCAGTGAACTCAGTTCAGGTGACTTGGGAAGAAACCAGAGGAGACCCTGGGATGTGTTTGAGACACAAATGCCAACCCAGAAAACAGACATGGAGCAAGAGGTCAGCAGTCAGCGAAGCCCATGCAGTGAAGTCTGGTTACTAGAAAGAGAGAATGTGCCATGACAGGGCTCTTAACTACATGGACTCAAGACTTCCTTACATTGTGTGTCACATGCTCACAAGACTGAGCCCTGACGTTTGGGTGAGTCATAGGCTAATGAGTAGGAGGTAAATGTTGGTATACAGCACAGGCTCAATAAATAGTTGTTGCATGAATGATTGATACAGTTTTAGGTACGGAGAGGAAATTTTTCATTTTTATCCAGTTATATACAAGTACTAATTTATAATTAAAGTTTTCATGCTCCATGAAAACTAACTTCTTAGAGTATTAACCATTTTTGATATCAGAATGTTTTTGATATCAGAATTTTTTGACTAAATAAATAAGGAAACCAAAGCTTTAATTAAATGCATTTAATATTCATAGATTCCTTAGTGACTTGATAATAGATCATTTTCTGACATACAGGTCGTGTGGGTTCATTTTCCCAAATTTATCTGATCAAAGACCCCTTCTTTGGCAATAGGTTAAAAACCATAAAACCAAAACAGCCTTTCTTCTTTCCTAAGAGTCTGCTGGCCTCACGGTGTGGATAGGGCACTGTTATACCCTGACTGCGGATCTCTCAAAAACCATTTATCTAGGGTGTTTTGGTGTTTTGGTGTGCTGGGTTAGGTGACATTAGGTGATCCTATCTACAATAGTTGAAACGTGACGAATTTCCTTTGGATGGTCTGATCCTGAGTGATGCCTGGGTGGTCTCAGTTTGTGACATTTCTTGGAACCAGGGTGTGTACCAAGCTGCCCTGGGCCCCACAGACACAGATAAGTATTGAATACACAGAGTAAGGTGAAACTCAAAAGGGACCTATGGATTGCAGTAGTATTAGGGAGGAACATTATCTTTTTGAAGCTTTTAGGATTTCGAAAGCAAAATTTATAATCATTAGGCAATCTTCATTTTTCTTAATGTTCCTGCCTAGAGCTGAGACGCCAAGAGCCAAGAATCCTACTTCACTCTAGTCTATAGCTCAAGGTTGGGGTGGATGAATGTGGAGACTAGGGGATTTTTCAGAGGATGCGTATGGGGATGAGAAAGTTGGGGGTACGGGCAGGTGATTGCCATGGTCTATACAGCGCTGAAGCGTCCTGTAATTTCTACTTGTATTCCTGAAGCAGAGCTATTGCTTGTGTGTGAGGAGCCTGGGGAAGGTTGTGGAGAGATCTTGTGGCTGAGGCCATTGTTCTGTCTAACCTCCTGCTCGCCCAGCCTGAGGGTGGAGGACATACTCTCT